GTGTATAACACGCACACATTTTATTTGGGATAGTCTACTGACTGTCTACATAGATGACACTTATACAATAGTTTACGTTGTCTACACGTAAACGTAGAATATTATATTTTACGCGTAGATGCACAACCCTGCATACACATAAACATGTTTTTCGTGCTTCACTTCGAGCTCGCGTTTTTATTAAATTTTGAATTCTTAAATTGAAAATATATATTATTCGTATATAAGAAAATTCTAAGTTTAAGTAATATAATATAATATAATAAATTAGAAAGAAATGTCAGTATAAAATTGCATTTGGAAAGATTTATTTTTGAAAAGATTACCTTTAGGCTTTCATCATGAAATATCCAATTATAACTTTATCATTATATATTTTGTATAGCACGGAATAGCACCAAATAATATACTATACGTACAGACGCGGAACAAAGTCGAAGACGTGTTATTCGTCGAAAATATCCGTAATCTGAGAGAGGACATAATTTAATTTCGAATGCGCAATTTTTCGAGAATAAAGCCCCTGCAGCAGTCTCGAAAGGTGCGGATGTAGCACGGACATGCACCACAAATTATATACCGGCGGTGCAGAGAGGTGAATGTTGCTATGTAGTTTACATCCGCTTCTTCAGGTGACGTTAGTGTACGCGCGATTGGAATCGCGAATCCTTGAGAGCAGCGTCTGCTAGCACCCGCCGCACTGCGCATGTTCCAGAACCGTCCGATACTGCGCGCCGACACGACGTGGTGAGGCCGTTGTGCGCCGTGTCGGTTAAGGTGAAGTGTATACACAGAGCGGTATGAGCGGTTTGCGGAGCGGTGTTGGAAGGAATTGCGAAAGAATTTTACGAACATGGTCGGCCTACTCCTCCACGTGCTCTACTTGTTGGGCAAATGCATATACGATAGATATCGCGTCAAGAGAACGAGGCTCCTACCCGACGTCGCGAACGAGGCGGAGCTGTTCCGTTACGATTACGACACGTTCGACGATGTCTCGGAGTTCGAGGATACGTGCTGGTGGACGCACAGGACGATAAACAACTTCTTCCCACCGGCGTACATACAGCGATACTGTGCGGTGACGGAAGTGCTCAGCCAGTACAAGGGAAAATTGTCAAAGGTATCGGCGACACGTTGCGCGTATACGTGTTTTGTTGTAACAACGCGAATGTACGCCACATATATTGTTATGAGAAACACCACTCGGTCGTAGAGTCGTTATTATGAAATATTTGCGTAAGCCTCTCAGTTTTTCGCCTGTCCGATTTGTTGTATGCGTGTGTGTGTGTGTGTGTGTGTGTGTGTATGCGTGAGAGAGAATCACGAGATAGGATACTGTGTAACATCTCCGAATGTCTTGTTGTTTATCGTAAATTTTACTAAACATACAATCATCATGCAAAAGGTTGCGAGAATTAGCACATTGGGAAACCAACAATTTTATATTTATGTTATATTAATATCGACACATTGTTTGATAGAGAAAACATAAGTTTTGTATTTTTTGATTCCTCTCGCAGGTTGTTGACTTTGGGTGTGCGGAGCTAGGCTTCCTGGTTTATTTGAAAGGTATACCGGAAGTGGAACAGATACTCTGCGTAGACGTGGACAGGGAGGTTCTAGAAAGAAATGAAAGAAAAGCGGCACCGTTAATCACGGAGATGATGTCCAGTCGAGAGAGAAAGCTTACGATAGAGATTTGTGAAGGCAGTGTAACGGACAATGATATAAAGTTGAAGCATGCAAATGCTGTAATATGCATTGAATTGTATGTTTTTACATCACATGAACGTTACATTATAAAAGTTATTTATTTATACATCTCTTTGGAAAAATTCTTTCTTAAATTCTAGGATTGAGCATTTGTATCCAGATACATTGATAGATCTTCCTTTTAATATTTTTGGCTACATCAAGCCAGAAGTAGTAATAGTGACAACACCAAATGTGGAATTTAATGTAGTATTTCCAAATATGTCAGGCTACAGACATCCAGATCATAAGTTTGAATGGACAAGGGAACAATTTCAAGACTGGTGAGTTGTATGAAAATTGAGAATTTAAATGAATTGAGAATTCACTCCAAGTGATTTTTTATCATCGCTTTTTTTAACAACAGGGCACAAAATATTGTGGTAAGATATCCGTATTATAGCGTGACATTTCAAGGAATTTGTAATGGACCCGAAGGCACTGAGGAATTAGGCGCAGTGACGCAGATGGCGGTGTTTCACCGAATTTTACCGAGGAATGAATCAAGAATAGAGATTATAATGCCAGATGAATACATTAAGTTAAGAGGGCAACATGCGTTGTATAATACAATAGCTAAATATGAGTACAGTACAGGACAGTGCGACAATCGTTCAGACGAACGAAAGATACTGGATGAAGCGACGTATTACATCCATTATCTAAATGATATAAATGATGACGAGGATACCATCGGTGAAGTACACCTGACCCGTATATTGGAGTTCATGTCCAAGTATACCGTTTCGTTGGAAACGTTGAGGTCGATTCTGACAGACGCAGGATGGAGCGTCGTAGATCGAGAAAATGGACCAGCAGTGCTTCTTGAGCCTTTCGAGAGTTCTGATGAAATGTCGAACATAAGCAATGATTATAGTAACATGGAGAATGATGATTGGGACAACGAATATGAAAATTCAAGGGACGATTCGATAAATATGGAGAACATATGGGACTATGAAACTGGGGAACGCATAGGTGAAATATACGTGGATGCGGGTGAAGTTTATGGATCTCGGCAAAACCTACATACTGAAGATTGGAATGAAGAGTCTAATGTCACAAATGAGGAGAGCAGATTGGACTATATAACTAATTCATCCGTAAATGACGCATCTGCAGATACAAATGGAGAATATTCATCTCGACAAAATCCGCATGCTGAAGGTTTGCATGAAGAACCTGATGTCACAAGTGAGGAGAACAGATGGGGCTGTGCAACTAATTCATCCATAAATGTTGCGTCCGCAGATACAAATGGAGAATATTCATCTCGACAAAATCCGCATGCTAAAAGTTTGCGTGAAGAGCCTAATGTCACAAGTGAGGAGAACAGATGGGGCTGTGCAACTAATTCATCCATAAATGTTGCATCCGCAGATACAAATGGAGAATATTCATCTCGACAAAATCCACATACTGAAAGTTTGCACGAAAAGTCTAATGTCACAAATGAGGAGAATAAACAAGATTATGTAACTAATTCACCTATAAATGAGCCAGTTGCAGATGCAAATGAAGAATATTTATCTGAACAAGATCTGCATACCGAGAGTTGGCTTGACAGTCCCAATTTTACGGATGATGAGGATGGATGGGATTATGAGTCTCGCATAAATAAGACACACAATGCGGACATAGAAGAGGAATCTTTATCTACGCAAAATCCGCATACCGAAAATTGGCCTGAAGAATCCAATTTTACAAATGAGATGAACAGACGGGACTGTGAATTTGGTCTATCCATAAATCAGACATTTGCGGATGCGAATGAAGAATATTCATCTGTGGAAAATCCTCGTATTGAAAATTGGCACGAGGAACTCAGCATTATCATACCCGAAAATTGCTCTATTAACCAAGAGAACACTTATTTGTATGATGGCGAAAATTCTTTAGTGGAAGAATCTCATTTGTCTAAAGAGCTGCGTGCAACGTGTGACGATAGCCGCAAACGTTCAGCAGTTAGAAATACCGCAGAATCTTTAATGTATATCGAACGAGAATTACCAAGTGATTCGATTTCTCTAACGTTAAATGAGATAGAAGTGGAAACTCAAGTAATTGCTTCTGATATGCCTTCAGCACCACTCAACGACAGTTTGCAATTAAAAATCTCAGTTGACAATATTACAGCAGAACCTGCTTTGTTACAAAGTGACCAGATAAATCTAGCAACTACTAAAGGGATTACTTCAATGTTAAACTTCCAACCACGTATGTCTGTTTCGCGTTCATCGACGTCGCCGACACCGCTTTACTTTAACTCTGAGACGAACAACTCTTTGCAAGATTTTAGTTATTATCAAAACGAATCGTTGATCAACAATCAGTGTTTATTAAACAGTACTTTTCGTCAATCTGACATAGCGACTGAAACAGTTGTGACTTCGGAAGAATCTGTTTTAGGCGATACTTGTTTTAAGGACAGTCTTCCAAAGAAAGATACACGAGGAAGCGAAATAAACTTTTCGTTACATATGCCTCCGAACCATCATAACTGTAGTGTCGAACAGGGAAGAGGTATTTCAGATAAAAATCAAATTTGTGAGGATAACGATATGGCAGATGTGATGTCATCAGACGCTTATAGTAATTTTAATCGTCAGCCGAAATACACAAGTTCACCTCATACAAAAACGCCCACTACCAATATTGTTAATAAAAGTTTGAAGTACAGAGAGCTAATACCTGCGATGAATAGTAATGTTTTGCCGGATACGACGGAAGAAATCAAGGAAACTGTCTCAGATACTTCTGACAGTAGTTCATTAGAAGCTAATCAGAAATCTAATAATAGTATCGCAGGAACAATTAAGCCATATGCAACTTCCTCGGGCAGTGGTGTTACAAATATTTCAAGACGTAACGTAGACTGTTCCGCTAATAGCAGCACACAGCAAAAATTGTGTTTAGAGAATAAGGATTTTAGTGGTGTTGACAACTCTATCTCTATAGAATTAATACAAGATACTAATCGAGATTTCGCGAAAAATGATAGAATCGATCATGAATCTGATACTGCAGACGATACACCACGAAATGTAGATGCACACCGTGACTTATCGTTAGGCAATGAGAGTATTAATCGTAAGGACAAAAGTGTATATTGTACATTAGCGGAAACAGATGTGGCGGACAGCACTGACGCGAAGGAACGCTTAGAAAATGCGATTAGTGATCTCGCACAGTCAAGCGTAAGGGAGAAGAGATTAATTCCGCCTAGAGATTTATTAAGTCTAGAGAATTATTCCGAGTCGCAGAGCGTTAGCAAATACTCTTCATCTGATTGTGCCAAAGAAACTAGCGTTTTAAGAAATGACAGGTTTGTACCTTGTACAAGTAGCGAGGATACGAGTAATGTTAACGTCACATCGGTGCTGAAAAATGAAGAGATCGTTGGTACGAGTAAGGATATATCGAATATCGCTGGATTAGTGAGTAACGTTGAAGCTAAACCGTCTTCTCCGCTCGAGACACCTCCGAACAGCTGGTCCCCCGAGATCATGGATTCCGGCTACCCGAATTCAGCTTCCGCGCAAGATATAACACCGGAATACGAGTTACCTAGCATAGCTCAGGATTACATACCAGACTCTGAATCGCCGAGCGTCGCGGAAGCGCCGAGGCTCGGGGTCTTGGAGCCGGTCGAGGTGGAAAACGGCGATTTGGCGAATAATAACAGAGACGGCGAAGGCAACAATATGATGGCTGTGGATGCTAATGATATCGAAAACTTGCAACCGCTTATTGACGTATTGGAGAACGATCTCGAGAACGAGAATGATATTTACGTAATGCAGAACGGCTTTCCTATATGGTTACTGAGAATATTGGACATGGCGAATCCGCTTGATTTTGACATGCAAGCTCGGCAAAATCTGAGAATTCCTAACGAAGTTGCAGGTAGCTATATTTCCCTATATCCATATTGTCTACATATTTAAAAAAAAAAAGACAATATATTTTATAATATTTATATTTCTAGGTGCTAACTATGTAGGTCATGACGAAGGTTTTGATAGCTCCTCAGAGAGTGAGAATGATGTAGCTTACAATGAAATGGAAAATGATAATGGACATGATAAATAAAGAATTTTACTTAATGAGAAGGAAAGTAAAGGTAAAACTAGAGTTCCTGAAGTAACGGAAGTTAGAACATCAGCCGCCATTAATAGGGAACTATCCAGATCTGTCTATCTTATTCTATCTTACAAGATAGAATAAGATGGATTATTCTATCGTACAAGATAGAATAAGATCTGGAACATAGAGTGAGAAAGCAACTAAAATAAAATAGCTATTTTACTTGTTTCTCGCAAAAAAATTTGGTTCCTTATTATATACGACGGATCAATCAAAAATCATTACTCCTAACTCTTACTTGAGGAACTCGTAAGTAAAACGTGAGCGTGATATGATTGCAGCGTCAAAGTAATATCTCACATATCATTCTTCGATGCTCCTAACAAAGTTTGCAGTGTAGGCTTGAAATTTGACTTTGTTTATTTGAACAGTGAATATTTTGGACAGTATTCTTGTTTACGTTTTTTATATATAAAAGATTGTATTCTAAAACAGCTCGAATAAGTTTTTTTTTTATTTATTTAAATTGATTGATGAATAACTACCTCTTTTTATATTTTTTAATATAATGTTATTAAATATTTCAAGCCTATGCAATGTTTTATGTTTTATGTAATAAGGCATTTAGGTAAATCTAGATATATAAAAGTTATGTTTGTTAGGTACAAACGTATAATATTTATTTTTATTTCGTGAGTATTTTCTATGATATTCTCTCTTTCTCATTTGAATGGCTGTAAGCATTTTTCATTGCAGTTTTCTGCTACTATAAAAAGTATATCGAAATCAATGATCTTTCTCTTTTTATTATGTATATGAAATATTCTCGCTCTTGTTCAAATTATCACAATGAGCTTAATAACTCATTTGTACATATATATGTATGTATATACATATATATACATATTTTTTACAATTCTGATTTTTTTTTATTATGACCTGTCAAATATTTCTAATACAGAACTTTAGATCTTAATGTGATTTGAGAATTTATTAGTATGTTAAATTTTTATAGAGTGTAACGTATATCTATGTGATATCTGGTAGATCCATAGCAAACGTGATAACTAATATTAAATATTAATTTTTGTAATTGCTTGATAATTTCGTTAAAACTTCCTATCTAAGACTGAAACTGCATAGTTAAGTTCGCAGTGATGCAAAAAAAAAACTTTGGACAAATAAAATCGATATAAAATTTGAACAGATGTAATGTTCTCAATATATTTTTATCCTAATACAGATAAACATGTACACATTATATGGCATAAAAGTTTACCGAGCTTCTTAATATTAAATATTTTACATGGAAACGTGATATCTTTTCTTTATTTCAGTGGAATGAAATTACAGGGTATACAATGGTTCGTACGTAGTTAGCCTAAGACTTTACATGATTCTGTTAGACGATTTCGACTGTTGTCATTGTTTTAGTATTTACAGAAATAAAGTCTTCCATTTTTCGATACAAGCGGTTATTCGCTAGAGTATAAGTCAAACGTGACCATAAACTTTGCTCGAAATCGTGTACGTATTACTCATTAATAATTTCAATAAATTGAATTTAATAAAAAAAAAGTTAAATACAATAAAAAAATATGCATCAATTTCAATAAATTTCGTTGTTAACAATAACTTAATAGTACACAAGTATGCTTATAACTTTATATAAATGCAGTTTTAATATTTTTCGCATAAAGTTGTAATCTTTTAATTCTTCCTTGTAAATCCGTATAAATAAATATATCATACTTATATATAAATGGCACGACTTGCAAAGCCAAGTTTGATAGTCAAGAATGTACTACAAGTGTATAGCAAATTTATTGTTGAAACACTTATAATACTAGACAAAATTACACATCAATGGAATTGCATTTTTAAGTAGTGCCTTAACACCATAATCTATGGTTTTTAGTAACGTTCGTTCTTGCTACAAATTTTATCAAAACAAAGTGCAAATTGCGTAACTAAACAAGATTATAAATATCTCGCAACTACTGTGTAATTTACACGTGTATCTATTCTGCTACATTTTTATGATTAATTATCCCATGATGAAATGTGGGAAATATTAAAATATTATATACGTGTCGCGTGTTTATCGGTGACAAAAGTATAATATAAAACTAAAATAGTGAAAGTTGTTAATATCAAATCTAACGCTATATGTGGGTTAGTAGAATTATCGGAATATATTGTGTCAGTAGAATCGTCAAAACTATACGTATGTAATTATCAATTACGCCAGTTGAGAGTTGAAATCATTGCAGAATAGTGGACTTAATAATAAAGATACATGGAAGAAAAAACGCGTTCACACTATTTTGGAATGTTACGTTAATCCAGATAAAAATCATATCACGAAAAAAAAAAATCAGTTAATAGAAAAGTAAACAAAACAATTACCTCCTCGTTACAATGTAAATTCTGATTTTCGTAATCACGCATTTGTCCAGTAGAATTGTCATGACTACTGTTACTCGAAAGTTACTGTATGTACATAGAAATCTCTATTTTCTCCCTTTCACACTTAGACTAGTTTCATACAAAACGCGGCATGTGTACTTTTATTTCCTATTATTGTAAATAATCTGTCGTATTTACGTAACGTGATTCCTCTTCGGTGGATTGTTCATAACCGCGTGGCGTTGTGTAAATTTTTACGTCGAGCATTGCGTTTACATATATATATTTATATACGTCGAATGAAAGGAAGAAAAAGGAATAAACGTAAAAAATAATGTTAATATAAGCGTTTATACTCGTAATGTCAGAAAGAAAAAGAAAAAAAAATCACAGAAACGAATCTATTTTCAAAACATAACAAGATCTTAACAAAAAATTTCAATGTAATATCAGCTGTTTTGTAAAAGGAGCTGTTTGATCAAAAGCACTTTGATGTGCGATATGGTTGGGGAACGTGACAAAGAATACATCGAGTTAACAGATCAAGTCGTACATTACAAGTAATTACGAACATACATCATGTTCACATATGTCCGTCGATGTGATTACATGACTCCGAGATGTACGTATTTTCCTCCTCCTAATGGCATTTTGTCTGCATAACAAAAACATAAAAATAATATAGAATATCGAATATTGGAACATCATTCACATACACGCTATTAATGCCCCAGAAAAAGTATTAAAGTCATCATATGGAAGTAAGATGCAATAGTATTGTATAAAACAATCGCTCGATAGTCGCATATAAAAGATCTTTAACTTTGTTTTAAAAAAATATTTGATGGTTTATAAACATATTTTACTCGTCAACGAATGTTTTCGTCAAATATTTTTTAAAGCAGAGATAAGAAATATATATTATATGTATATATAAGACCGGTATTCATAGTTGATTCTTATCTCAAGACTGTCTTAAGTAATGTTTTAAGATGCTAATACGGCTCTGTGATTGGCTTATAACATTTTAAGACTGTACTTAAGATGGTCTTAAATATAAGAACCGACTATGAATACGAGTCTTTTTCACGTCCATGCAATTATGTAGTAACTGGTTTACGTAATCTGTGTCGCATCTATTTGCATATTCCTTGTAGATTACTGTATTTTATACTTACTGCATCACACAACTTCCTTGAGACTGTCGCGTGTTTCACGGCTACGAGAATGTATTAGATGGTGCAGATCACCTCCAGGCGCGCTGTCGCGCCTCAGATCTCTCAGCGGGGTCGGTGCCATCGCTTCCCTCTTGTTCGCCGCTTCCTTTATACTGGACAAGGTTTTGCTGAGCCACGGCCAACTGTTCCGCGCGGCTTGCAGCTCAGATGCGGTGGCGTGCAACTGATGCGTCAGATCCTGTCGAATGATATTTGCGTTAGATTCTATACTTCATTCTTGGAGGGAACGCAAAGGATTATAGCCTACACGTAAAATGTGTTCTTGTCGCCCACCTGATTCCGGCACTCGGCCTCGACGTGCGCCAACTTCGTCTGCGCTAACTCCAGCTCCAGCTCGCGCACCCTCTCCTGCACCCTGTGAAGCATGGGATCTATTCGGTTCTCCAAAGGATGCGCGATGTCCGCCAGTATGTTCGACGAGTCCATTATGCACGTCCTACATTTCTCGCATTTCGAAACCTTCGCCTGAAACGACGACAGTGTCGTTATCGGGGTATGCGCTCGATAAAGTGTTAACGCTATCGAAATCAAACGGAATGATTACGCACCCGTAACTCGCTCAACGTTGTTTTCGCAGCGTTGTAATCGTCCTCCAAACGCTGACAGATCTGGAACGTGTAAATAATTTTTACAGCTCTCCGTAATACTTGAAATCGAACCATCTGCGATACAATATATATATCTTGCAAATACCTGCTTGTATTCGGCTATAATGACATTGCTTCTGCGGCTCTCAGCGTCCGCCCGAGCTACCTCGCGCTGCAGCATCTCCTTAATCTGCAGGAGTTCTGCCTCCAATCTTTGCTTTTCTTCTTCATTTCTGGCCACTGTCCCGCGCAGTTGCTCGACCTCGTTGCTGTATTCATCAGCATTTTCCTGCGCCTCTGCACGAAGAATAAACAATTCTCATTTAGGCAAATTTAAAAGTTTAATGTATAGATTAGATTTATACATCTCGGGACTTTTTCTTATAATGTTTAATCTTTCTCTTTTATAATTATTATTAAATTTACAGTTATAAATTCCTAAAATTCAGCACAAATGCACAATTACACAGTAGTTATTACAAAAAATATTTTTTAAAATGTATTTTTACTTTTTTGCATGACTTATTTTTTTCTTGCTATGAGAATGTATTTTTATTATTTTATTTGTCAATCGTGCTTAAGTCCACGCGTGTTTTGTAAACGTATTATTTCCAACTGCACGCGTTTTCCTCTAAAGATTTAACGACAATGGCAACACGAAATAACTTCTGAGCACTGCATACTGAAGTATTATATAAGTGCACTTTTCACTCTTACTCTTCATTAGTTCTTTCGTTGCATGGCTCATACTCGCGTTGATACGTTAAAAACAGATGGTCCGCGCGGACGTAACTGACAGATACAGATATCTCGTTAACACGAGTGCCCAGTACATAGCTTCGCTATATACTGCTGTAGGAAATACACTACGCCAAATTTAAACTGCTGATATAGCTGATATTGGATATCTCCAACTTGCTAGGTATAAGTGACAGTAATATTGATAGCCGAGGTTTTCCTGGATATTTTTTTGTTATTTTTTTCTTTTTGCAACATTGTGAAACAATATAAATTTGGTTGACAAAATATTTTTATAAAGCTGTCTTTGTTCTTCGTGCATATCCAGCTAGGAAAAAATAACTGTAAATTATGTTTTCTTATAATAATTGATACACTATACTATTACATATATCATTAACTGATTATGGGTCAGGAACAAATTTGCATAAATAACATATTGCATTTTCAGTGCAAAGGTAAAGACCTCTATCTGATATGATTCAGCTTATAGTTATGTTATTGCTTATCAGCTTACGCATACTTCAACGACCTGTGATATATAGGATTAATTTAGATAGTAGCTTCATAAAAATATTTCTACATATCCCCGAGATGATCTCTAGATTAGATAATTTTCTTCATATTATAAATGTATGTATACTATATGTGCACAGTTAGCATTGTATTTCACTATTTTTGTTCTTTTTGTTAATCATAATCATCTAGCATTTTTGCATTTACATTGCGGCACTACACTACTTGTATAGATATATACGAGGGAAGTAATTAGTACAGTACAAACAAGTGCTGACAATTTCGCCTGATGTGCCATGCATACCCAAATATAGCGAGAAAACAAAATATGAAGATAGGAAGTGCAGATGTTTACTAGATATTCATTAGGAGCAGGATATTATTGGATAAAATAGGTACAATTCACAAAACTAAAAGTACTCTGAGATGATTTATTTTTCAATAAGCAATAAATAATGTATAAATAAAAAGCAATACAAGAGGTCGTATATATAAGCGCTACAGCCGATAAGCATGGATTCTAATAACAAACGTAAAATAATATCAGTTTTTCCAGTTTTTTAAATGTGATATCGTTAAAAAATAAATAATACAAAATTAAACTTACAAATAAAGATTTTGGTGACATGAAATCTCGTCTAACGATATTAATGTATTATACGTTCACAGCACGCATCGAGACATACATATACCTATTGTAGTGTAATAGCGCAAAAGAAGAATTCAGCATAACAATTCTAGAATTTTTTACATGAGTATTATGAAAGTCATATTTTGATCAGTTGCTCATTAGTTCATTATTCAATTAATAGAATTAAAAAAATACATAATTAAATATTAATTAAATATTTTTAATATCCTTATTGAAGTCTTATTGTTTACTCATTTAAATGAATCCTATAATTGTGACAAATTGAGGTTTTATAATAAAACATTAAGAATAATAAGCCTGTCATTTTGGTGAATTATTTCTAGATTTCTAAATTCAACAAAATTATCCATTAATATCGTTAAGAATTATTCATTGTATATCCATTAATATAATAATATAATATCATTAATACATTCAAGCAATATTATTAAATTGAGAGCTATTTGCAATGAACAGATGAAAGCAAACAGATTTACATGTGTGATCAAAATTATTTGTATACAGTATAAATTAGGAATATCGAAAACAGATTTTATATTAACAAGTAAATGGATGAGTGATTTCCACACATTAGTCTTATTGTAACTTAGCACTTTGGACGAATATATCTTTATATCTTCCAAGGAAAAATGTTCTCTCTTTTCTTTTTTAAACTGCGTTTTGTTCAACGAATTTCTTACATTAACAGTCGGTGATGTATTTTCGCCAAGTGGCAATACTCGAATTTGAAAACAAAAAAAAATATACAGGCAAGTAAAACCACCACCTGAACTGAAGTAATTAACAATGTCCATTTCGTATTTTTAAATTATCCAAATATAGAGAGCTGTGTGTAAAGTTATAATAAAATTTTTATTAAAATCAGTTAACTTAAATACGAGACTAGACACATTTTATACTTTGGCTCAGAAAATATGAAGTTCTATCTCGTGTGTATTTTGCCGAATTTGTATGTAACGTTAAATATACACGCGTGAGCATGATACTGTCTTACATATAAATTAGGTGTATTTTATATTTTATATATTAAAATTAATTATAATTAAAATTAATTTAATATTGTAATATTAAATTATCTTATAAATTTGATTTATTATATTTTTATTATATTATTAAAATATATAATAGCAATGTGCTTCTATATATTTTAATTAAATTATATTTGATTCTAGATTTAAAAAAATTCTCTAAGTACTACAAAAAAAGAAAAAAATTTTTACGTATCATTTACGTTCTATGGCACAGCCTAAGAACTCGTTGTATTATATATAGTTTTACTAGCAATAATCTCCTTGCCACACAGGAATCTTTGACTCTTTAGTTTTAAATGTAATATGTGTTTGAATGTAAAAGTTTGTATGTGCCTGAAACTTGTACCCACACTGAAAACAAATTCACAACCAGCAGGCAATGATTGCTGAACCATATACAAAATGTACATGCATGTGTATACAACACGGTGTACAGTGTTTCCTGATGAGTTGATGGAACATTGTGTTTAAAGGTGAACAGGGGAAAGTATGCAGTTCAAACGTAGAATATAAAATTACCTTTCAACGTCATAAATTCTGCTTCATACTTCTTCAGTTTCTTCAACGTCACTGAACAAGCTAACTTCATGACGTAGCGCGCAACTTCTTCGTTTCGGCAACGTTTTGGTAAGTGCACCCGGAAGTACTTTAATATGCTCTCAAAGTCTAGTTGTAATAACTCTTTTTTACAAAGCTGAAAAGTAAAATTACTTTTCTTTGGCATACATATTCTTTTATGGAATAAACGTACGAAATAATATCAATCAAATCAACAAAATAATTATATACTTGGTTTATACATATTATATACTGTAAACTTTGTTTAAATTGCTTAAAAACAGCTTACCATCAACAAAGCGAGGGCGACTTGGAATAACGTGTCGAGTCCTTGTAAAAGAAATACGTCCAAGATATGAAAGACAAGATATAATGGAAATCTAGCAGTAAATAGAGTTAGAAACCATTGTGCGGCGAACATGTGCGTTTCTACACCGCGATCACAGAAATGCTTATAGAGTTCCGGCAATTGATCCTAGAAGGAAAATGTACAAAGTATAGCTCAACCTATACATAACTTGTTATATAAATGCCATATCGTACAGATTGATCACAACTCACTTCTATCAAACGATTTAGTTGATAAAATCGCATGTAAAGGTTGTCAAATCTATCCTTGTATAAATGTCGAAGACCATAATCGTACATTAATTTGACCAGAACACAGAATGCTTGCTCCTCGGGCATCTAGAAGAAATCAGTTCGTTTTTGTCGATAGTACTTAACAAACTATTATTATTACAAAATATGTATCACCGATAAAGAATTCTATCGTCACTTCTACAAAATTAATTTCTATAAAACTATATAGCTTTTTACTTACGTGCAGTAACAGACTAGCAACTAAAAAACTGAGGCCCTGACAATATCCAACCTCTTCATCGTGAACAGCGTATGCTTTACTTATTCTGTATAAAGAGTCTTGCCCTAAACCGCCTGTTTCTTTAAAGAAATCGTGGGCTGGAAATGTTCTATTAATATCCCTTAAAATTACGCTCTCGCAGCTGCTCTCCTGTGTATTGTCAAAATTCAAGTTATACCTCTCAGAGAAAGAACTTCGATCACAATTTTTTGCATGAAATTATACCAAGTACTCACTTTCGTAATTAACATTCTATATTTGTCCATCATCTCTTGTGAATTGTCGCAGTTACTCAGACGTTGCCAAACTTCGCCGCGTAGAGCTTCGGGAATTCCTTGTTTTGTCAGTTTTATAAGAAGCTTTGGACGTTGCTCGTTAACTTGCCAACTGTCTAAAACTTCAGCCCAGCTAGCCAATTCGTCTGCCGAGCAATCCTTCGACACTTCGCCTGTACCACTCAACATGGGCTCATCCCCGTCTATGTGCAGAAATTTAAACGTTAGCAAATCGTATATTTTGTATCATTAAATTAACGGAGCCAACTCTTTCCAGAACTGAATTTATTTACCTGAATCTATTTCTTCTTTAGGTGTAAGTGTGTCGATGCTAGTTAAAGAGGGCGATCTAATTAAAGATGCCAGATTCAGAGCCAGATTTAATCTGTTTCTATCTAATTCACCCGATGTTTCTATGCTTTGTACTTCGTGATGTACCTCTGCATCCCCGGAAATTATCTGTCACAAAAAAAATCAACAGATAAATTTTTTTTAGAAAATATAGCTATAACAAACTGAGATAAAGACATTTAATATTTTTAATATAATTTCTTATAATCGGAATAGCTCACCTCTTTGGAATTGAGATAAAACTGTTGCACGAGATTTCTTTTATTAAAATACCAAAATCTTTCATTTTGCGGGAATACTTTAACCGAGGTTTCTATCACAAATCTCACTGGTTCCCGAATATCTCTAATAACAAGATCGACGGCAACAGTCATGAAAGTTTTGCCCTCTCTGGGAGTTTCTATATTAAGAGTCTCCAAAGCGGGATCCGCGGGATCCCAACGTCCGCAAATATTATAGCACTGTTTGTCTTGCAATATTGGTCCAGTATTAACTTGCTGCAAAATTGTTGTAATATTGCGAACATCTGAGCTGATTATAGACATAAAATTAACTTGCTGGTGTGAATCTCTCTTTACCATCTCGAGTAGTCGCATATCACTGTGCTTAACATTTCGCCCGGGGCTAACGAGTACTCCGAAGCATCTCTCGACTTCAAGCGTAATGCCACCTTCTTTACTGGACACTTGCTGGATACTCAAACAAACTTGTTTCGCCACATTGCTCCGCAATTTGAAACAATTTCTATCCTTGGGTACCGTACTAAAACTACCTTTCCCATCTTCCTCCTTTATTTCCATAGTGACTTCAAAGATAAATACTCTAGAGTTAACTTTTTCGCCAGCATTGAAACCGTTGAAGTCACTGCCCGTCAAAGAGCTTGTCATTGACCGTGGTATTCTGTGAAACGCTTTTGAAAAGCAGGCTGACACTTGTCCGACCTACGTAAAATAATTATAAATTAAGATACTTTGAAAAAGCTATAGTTATAGTGTTATATATTCTGTAATTACACTTTATAATTCATCATGATTTCACTTTAATATTGTATAAAGAAACATTTTAATATACAAAATGATGAAAAAAAATATATTTAGTCATTTCTTAATATATTGTATATTATAACACTATCAATATATATTAAGAAATGACTAAATATTATATTCTTTTTCATTGTTTTGTATATTAAAATGTTACTTTATACGATATTAAAGTGAAATTACGATGACTTATAAGGTGTAATTACAGAATATATAACACTATAGTTGTGTAACTTCTTACGTATTTGCGTTTGCGTATATATAATAACGTAAAAACGTACCGCTTCTGGTATATCGCAGCGGAAAACGTGACATTGATAAATGGCAGATTCTAAAGTATCACCGTGTGACCATGTAAAAGCAAAACACGCTGCGCATGAACCAGTACTCTCACCACGTGCATAAAATAGAATACGCTGGACTTCATAACGGGCGATGGCTTGTTGTGTTGCAGCATCATATAAACTAAAGAACGATACATATACATATTACTTGATCATATGTATATAATCTTTTTGTGTCCTTACTCACTAAATTTAGATCGAATTACTCACATAACTGAACCTTGCGAACTACTCGGCACAGAGACAGAAACCCTTATTCCTAAAGTCAAGGACTGCTCGGCATTTAATATATTCATGTTACGTTGGATTTCACATTCTGATTTTGGCGCATTTATGGCAGCTGCTCCGAGATACGTAACACCGTTGAAAATAGTGCATTCTTGTTGAACGTGCGACAATGTGTTTAACTCTAGGCCACATAAAACGTACTTTTTTTACTCTAAAGTCTGTCGCATTGATACTGATAATCCTTGTTTACAAACATGTCAGTATCTTACCCTCCTCAAGATAATCTTCGGGCTTCATAATATCCTGCTTCTCCGACGAGACAACGCAAGAGCTAACGTCGTAAAATTGACTGTGGCCCACCTTCTTCGTCTTCTCTTGGTTCGGTTGGCTGGCACTCGTCACTTTGAACTCACTTCCCTCCATTTTCGAGTCCTCTGTCAAAATCTACGGTTTGCCACACAAAGAGGATATATTGATACCGGTATTTGTGAGTCATGGATGTCTTATCTATTAAGATTAAAGGTTTATCTATCTTTGTTTTAAGATTAGGGAGGGCACGATAAGTCCGATAAAATGTACAGACCTCACGGAGATTATTTTGCAGATCCTCCAAATTGCCGTTATTAGCGATTTTTAGCATGGGTGGTTCTAAGAGGGCTGGCTGCTGCTTGCTAGTACCTTTCTCATTCACAAATTCATATTCATCGCTTGTCGCCACTGATTCCATGGACTTTACACTCATGCTATCCTCCATAACTAGGTCTGCAACATTCATATTCAGCAATTGACATTGAGCCGAATTTTACGATTAGCAATCTGTATTCTTTAAAAGCATGCAGCAGGCTTTCTTTAAAATGTCTCTCATTCCTACATTATATTAATGCTTTTTTGGGGGGTGGGGGGGGAATTTAATCAATATTTCGGACACTGCCTCTGACAAATAAATAAAATATACTCTTTCAATCATATTCGAAATGTAAATTTCGATTGGAACCTGCACACGATTATCTCAAATTCACCTATACGAAGGGCAACCTTGAATCAATGGAAAAATCCCGTGCAGTATTTACAAACATCATTCTAGAGCAGTGACAATAAACACGTACAAGACTACGACTTCCTCTCAAGAACACGAGTGACTCTGTGCGTTCCCAGCGTAGCGGAGTGTGTTATTTTTGCTCCAGTATCCCTGGAAACGTCCCCCCAGGCGACACGGCTGATATCAACGGGGAAGGTGTATCACCTCCTGCTGCCTCGCCAGTCTAACTCTCAGCCGCGTCACCCTCGTGCTCCGTGCTCGGCGCGGCCCATTAGAACGAGACAGTCCGTTTGGAGGCCGTGATCAAGTCCGAGGGAAGCCAGCGGAGCACGTGCGAGATTCGCGTCGACGGCATCACCGTTGTGCGACGGGCAACGCATCCGTCCGTGATCTCTCTCTCTCTCTCTCTCTCTAGCTGTCTCTCTCTTTCTCTCTCTTTGATTGTGATTTTTCCCGTGATGTATTATTTCAGGCGATGACGGATCCCGCGTATCCGCCCTAGTTCGCCGAGCTTATCCCGAGACGAGACGACGACACACCTCCCGGGGGGGAGTCCCGTTCCCGTGACGTTGTCCGCGACCGACGACGACGAGAGATCGCCTTCCTCGCGGCTCGTGGATCCTCCACCCTTCCCGATCCCGGCGTGTGGTTCTTCGTGTGGCCTTCGACACGGCCCCAACTCCAGCTCCAATAACCGTGTGTGGCTCCCGACTCCCACCTTCGACACCACGACACACGACCGTCGGTTGGTCCCGCGGCCACCTCGCTTCCTCTCTCTCTCTCTCTCTCTCTCTCTTTCTCACGTCCCTCCGGCGCGTGTCGCCGCGCCCGGACCTCGTGCCTCGCTTCGCCTCGATTCACCGCACGCGTTTCCCCGCGACCCGACGGCGGACGGACATTTACATGACTTCCCCCGTGGCGAGCGGCGCGACGGCTGACAGAAACGTCGACGACACGACGACGGCGACGGCGGCGGGGTCGGCCATTCGCGAGTATACCCACACACGGCCTCGAAGTCTCTGGAGTGGTAGGGGATTGCCCTCCGATTACCCCGCGAGGAACGCGTCGATACTGTCCTCTCGATATAACGGGAGTACCTTGCAGATGGAGTAGATGAACACGGGGACAGATCGGTAATACACTCTCGACGGCGAGAGCCACTGTATGTCCCCGATTAATTGTATCCCAATACGCGGACGTATCGATACTTCCCTCCGGACTCCTCGGTATCGATACTCGCTCGCGTTGCAGAGCGGTATCGATACTACATATATATTTAATAAGGCGCGTGTGTAACAATAAATGTAACCCTTTCTGATTTGATAAAGAGCCACACTTAGGAGGGGGGGGGGGAGAGGGAGTTCCTCGCGGATTCCTCGTTTCTCAAACGGATTACGCGGAAAATGACAGCATGTGACAAGCCTCGTTCGTTCTCAGGTAGAACATATATATATCACTTAAATGATCATAATGACGTCAATTCTTACGTTATTTCCGACGTACAAGTGACAAATAAAGCCATAACGATATGTCCTTATGACATATCACTTGACTCCATAATATTATTACGATTTCCGTGTTCTACGTGTTTTTGTTTACAGTCGTACGTCCGATCAAAAAAAAAAAACGAATCGGTCTGATCCCTTTTACGAAAGAAAAGGGAATGAAAAAATAAAGATACTGAGGAACATGCCTGCAAATATAAATAATAAATATTACAATTGTACTTCTGATTTGTATTTGTATCACGTTACGTTTTAAGTGTTTTAACACAAACATAAGGATGTGGTGTTGCATTTGTAAATTGATAACAATACGATCATATATCATTCGAACTTACCAATTGAACACTTATATGACAGCTATTTTCGACAATTCTCGAAAGATGGCACAAAGATACAGCGCCAATGCCGCCAATTCCTGTCCGATTCAACGTGTGATTCGAGTTAAATTTTGAAATTCTAATCGTTTCAGAAAAATTATAATAATTTTGAAATGAAGAGAAATTTTGAAATAGATCTTTTTAACTCAACAACTCGGAATAACTTTTTAGAGTTAATAATAATAAACGTCTTTCTTATACTTATAAAAGTTTCAATTAAGTGACGGAATTGCATATTTTTCATTTAGAAATATCAATAAGAAATTGAAGAAAATCTTCAGCTTATGTGGCGGATATATAGCAACATGTATAAATAAGATCCTATACTTAAATGTAAGACTTTACAGCTACGTAAAAGTCAAGTTAAAAAAAGCTACACAAAATTAATATAAATTACATGTATATTTTATAATTACATTATTAAAAACAGATAATATATATTTAATGTATATTTCAATGTACACATTTTACTGGCATTTCAAAAATTTATCAGTGATCTGCTAATCGGGCCAGCGCCCTTTTCCATTCGAACCGGGCACCTCACTGGGGTCGCGTCGAACAACGCGCATGCGCGAGAAAGCTGGCCCGTATCGCCGGACGGCGGACACCCGAGTGCAGTAGTGCAGTTCGGCTCAGTTCGTAGGCGAGCGAGATCGCGGAGCTCCGTTACGTCGGGCGTGAGGCGAAGTCCTCTTCGTTCACGGGACTATCTTTCGCGTCGAGAAACCGCCTGCACACCGACGTCCGCCCCGTCGCCACGGTGATCGCGATCGTGAGCAGTGGTGAACCGACGTCCGCGCGAGAGAGCCCGCACCTGGGGAGAGACGCCTCTGTGAAATCATGGAAAAAGTGTGAGAGTGCGTGAAATCGGCTAACGTGCGAGGAGGAGAGCGTTACGGATACACACACGGTGAGTGCCCAAGTCTCCGTCCCCAGTTTCTCCTGGATGTGCGCCCGTCCTCTCTTCGAATCCGAGACATTCTCGGTCGTTGAGTCTCTCTCTCTCTCTCGTGTCGTGTCGTGTCGTCTCGTGTGGTTCGAAATAAAACGCGGGAGCAACAGGAGTAACGGAGAAAGAGGAGGAGAAGCGTCGAGGAGCGCGCGCGAGAGAGGTTATAAAACTGTATTCCCCAGCTGTCTTCGGACGACTTTCGCAGATTCTCTCATCCGACTCGTCCGAGGATTCGTTCGACGTTCCGTCGCGATTCGCGCGCTCATTGAGAGAGGGAGAGAGAGAGAGAGAGAGATGGAGCACATCCACGGAGTCCGTGGGTCCAGGATCGGAGCGCCTCGAGGATCGATCCCCCGTCGCAGCCGCTGGTGCCGCTGATTCGACGCGCGCCGAGAGGTTATGAAGTCGACGCGCGCGGAAAATCGTCGACGCTCTGTCCCCCCCCGCGACCGGACGCGGTCGTCGCTTTCACCGTCTCGTGGCTCGCGGCCTGATAAAAGATATCCGCGCCGCTTCTTCTCGGGTCCCTCGACCCTCGAAATCGTGCTCGACCCGGGCGCCCTTTCTCGCGTCGCGAAAGGAGTGATTTTTTCATCGAGTTAATTCCGGTGTCGACGGAATTTAACCGTCCGGGATTTAACGTAATCTGTGTCGTGCGATCTGGCGCGCGGAACTCCGGAGCAGCGCGGCGCGGAACCGCGGCGTCGCGGATCGACTCTCGTCGAGAGGACAGAGGGTCCTGTCTATCTCTATCCTATATCCGGCGGCGCGTGCAGTCAATCGCCGATCTGTCAACTGGCCGACGCGACGACTGGCGGTCGTCGGCCGACCGGGCGATAAGAACGTGATGCGCATTTTGCATGTATATAATGTACAGTACGCGCGTATGTATGCAATCTTATCGCCCCCGTCGCTCTCGCTACTTTCACAATCGTCGCGTGCGCGCGATGCGCGCAACCGAGCGCGAGCGCGATGCACGAAGATCGCCTCTACGAGACACCGTACACCTCGGGGCGTTTTGTAGGTTATGTCGGGCTTAAATCGTCGATTTGTAGCTAACGCGAGAAATCTTGGTAGTCAAATTGTGTGTGTGCTTTTAAACGATCATCTATACGCGCACACACACATATATACGCGCACACACACACACACGTATGTATATGTATATGTATATATATATATATATATAATATTCACAAAAACTATATTTTATATGCATTACATTTTTTAAATATATATACTTTATATGTAGGTATTATATAAATACATATACCTATAATACATAAAGTATTATATACAATACATAAGTACATTTAAATAATTTCGAAAATATGTGTATGCGCGTATATATGTGTACACAGATTATACATACACGTATATGTATATAAAAGAAATTTATTTTTTGCTCATATATTTAATTTACGTATTAATGTACATATTATATTAATAAATGTTAATTCACTCCTCCATTCCACACACGTACATTCGATACACACGCAATTAATATTTGCATTAAATATATAAATGGAAAAACAAACTTGTTAGCACATTTTGTTCTCTGCACTATTTGTAATAATTTAAAATGTATGTGAAGAAAATTTGTGCAGTGTATAAATTAAAATAATCCGTCTTTTGAGTCATTATTTGGACATGAAAATTAATCCTGTAGAGATTAGTGTCTAGGAGAGAGGAGGAATTATATAGATATACTTGTCGTTTGTCCTTATCGTGATTGTTCTCATCCAAAAGCCGGACGGGTTAAGGGAGTAGCGAGATCGTCGAGTGAATATCGATGTCAATGACGCTCAATGACCGGATAATTTATCATCAATGAGTATCCCCTTAATTTTTAAAGACAATGAGATAGGAATACTATTGCTCGTAATGGAAAATTGGATGGATATATTTTAACGGCAATTTTTGAATTAAGTTTTTGATTGTTGAAATGAAATAAACTCTTTAGTTTGAAAATACACACACACACACACACACACACACACACACACACACACACACACACAAAGCGGCGAGCTATGGTAAAAATTCGTTTTCATATATATGCTACTATAAGTACATATATATCAAATCAATTTGAATTAGTTTAATTGTCAACAGTTCATGCCAGAATTTTTGTAAAATCTTGGAATTATTCAGAAATTTTCGATTTTTTAATCAATTTTGAATTGAATTTTTTCTTTGGTGAAATTGAAAATTATTTTTTTCAATCTTTTTAAAATTTCATACTTAAATATCTTTGTTAAGTTCTGTATTTAAATAAAATGATATTAAAGAAATATTTCTTAATTTTGTAAAGATATCTAAATTAAAAGGATATAAAGTTCCGTCACTTGTTCGCGTTTTTAAAAATTAATATGTATAAGAAATATTTTATTATTACTCAATTATCACAAAGTTTAGAAGTACCTACTCTAACTTGATGAAAAGGAAATTAATTTATTACACATTTTTTTCCCCGTGAGAAGTGCGGAGAGACTCGGATGAGAATCTAAATTATAATATTTTCTGTATGTATATATCATGTATATTTATAATATATATTATATACATATTTCCAATTTATTTGACAATTCGGATATTCTTAATTTTCATAACCATGTTTTACAAACGTATACTATAAATTTATCAAAGGATATATTTTGTTCTTCCGTCATAAATTTTAAATCGCGATGAGACGTCTGTTGAAACGCTTCTCGACGCGTTGAAAGCATTTAATTTTTCTGCTGCGTCAAGCGGCTTTCAAACATTTTTATCGCTGTCCGTTGGTCTTCATAATTCTAGAGCGTCATTCCCCCTCCCCCTCCTCTTTGATTGCTTAAATTTCTGTCTCGTATGGGTTGGACCGTGCTTTTTCGGTTGGCGCTGGTTATTGCGGTTGTGTTTATATTCGACGTACCCTGCATTAGCCGTTGGTGCGTCACGTCACTGCGTCACGCTCACCCAGTTCGCATCCCGAAACTCGATCCCAGGAAGGAACGGGCTTCGTTCGCATTTCCGAGCACAATTAGCATATTCATTCGTTCTTCTAATTAGCCGTTATGCAGCTTGCATTTCTCTCGTGTCTCGCCGCGCGACAAGTTCTGTCACGATTTGCAAATTGTCAAATCACTCTGTAACACAAAGAAGTGAGGAACGTTGTATTCTGTGCTGAATAAAGTACTTGCGGCGTGTGGCTTTCATGGCCATTTACTTAAATGACAGTAATGTATATTAAGTATCTGCTACTGCTAAATCGTATTTTGATCTTTCTCTTTCTCTTTATGCAAGTTAACACAAGTTAATAATAATCTCTGTTTGGGAAAAAAAGTTTATATAACGTTTTTCGTTCCATTAAATGAATCGCCATGTACTTAAAAAAAAGCACGATATTTACGTTATTTAAAAATCTGGCAATACAAACGGTACACAAAATATTGACAAACTTAGGATGTTATCTTGATGTCTTCCGCAAATTGTGAAAGATAACGATTCGGGCGATTTCTGCTTCCGTCAAGTATACACGTAGATTAGTATTTTTCTGACACGTTCATTTAATTCCGCAATCGCGTATTCAATTGTGCTATTGTGCTGCCTTTAAAGTCATTGTTGCTGTAATCTCGGTTTAATGAATATTTCATTCTGCATATATTTATTTGATTGGGAACTGATTGGGAACAGATCTATGGAAAGTACTGTGATATTAAAATACGTGCGAATCTTGCCTTCTAAATTTATAGCGTAAGAATTCGTTATCGTATTACGCGTTCATGGAGAGAGTTTCCTTTTAAAATTTATCCTAAAATCATGTAAATTGTGGGACAATATATTTCGGCAACTTTTACTGTGCACTACAATAAATTTTACTGTACACTACAATAAATTTGTTTTATAGTATATATTAAAAAAAATAACGAAAATTACATAAAATTCGTTGAAATACTATATTGTCCTATGATTAACATGATTCTCAAGGTAAATTTTAAAATAAAATTCTCTCCGTGTATTACACATTAAAATGCAAGCATACATATGTATACATATATATTTATGTGAATATATTCTCTGATATTAATTTCATATTTTACATTTATTTCGAGCATTAATATCGGCTACTGTTGTTCAAATTTCGATATATTGATCGTTTGTAAATAAACAGAATGAATTTGTTTATTTGATTAACATCTAATAACAATAATCTTATGTGTAATCTATAATGTGCATGTGTAATGTATGTGCATGATCTAGATCTAGAAAAACAAGTACATATTGATTTTTGTTATATGATGAGTTTATTGTCGATGTTTATTACATTTTATTTGTTATTAGTTTACACATTGAATGCCATGCAACACATATGCACAATATTTTTAACTCCAATTTTGATAGAAGAATTTTCATGTATTATTATATGGAATACTAAACAGGACTCGCGCAGTTTTCATAATTATCCGAAAAATGCGACGTCGATGAGGATTAATCGCAAACGATATATGAGGAGTAATTGCATTTCGAGTTCACTAGATTTTTAATGAATTTTATCGTGCGCATTATGCTCATTCGCTCGTTTTTTCGCGCAACAAGTGAGTTGCGCCAACGTTTTCTTTTCTGCCACGTAAACCGGTTACTTTCCCCCCATTTGCCACCGCACCGTTTCGCTCCGTACGTTCGCACAAATTTAACATTCGAATTTTGCTTGCAGTTCCAGACGATGAGGATGGTGTGCAAGTGCGCCAGCTGCATTTCTTCCTCCTAAAAAATCTCGTTGGCGACGTCGATCGGCGTGAGAACGACGAGCGACGTCCGATGAAGCATCCGCGGGATCACGAAGCCGCCGTCCGCCACGTCGCACTCGCTCCTAAGACGTTCCTCTTCCGGGGAGGAATACCCGGTGGCGGAAATCGCGCGGCGTAATCCTCCGCCGCCGTCGTCGTGGAAAGGCAATCTCGATCGCGCGAACCGAGAAACCGAGGAGCTCCGCGGACAGTCGAGCGGAGGGCTTCAGCTTGCGTCTCCCGGTCTGCATTTTCCGGTAATTGAAACGTCGGGCATGACTTTCCCGCGCGGAACGTCGTCGTCAGTGAGGCCGATGGCGCGTAAAACCGCGAGGCGATAGTCGAAGGGGACGCGAACGAACCCGCGATTTCCAGGAAGTCGCGAAATCGGCCGTATGCATCGATCGGCCGCCGGGATCACCCGCGATCGTTGAATCGAAGTCAAGGACGCCAAGGTAGTGTCGCTTGAGGGAGGGGGGAGGGGGAAGGGATCTCCGCAGAGACACAGGTGGGCAGAGATTCGAGGTGTCCCGCTTACTATAGGATTTGTTCGAGAACTCGCGCGTTACACGCGATAGGATTCAAAGTGCGGTGCCCCGGCCTCAGTGAGATGGCCTTCATGATGAAGAAGAAAAAGTACAAATTCTCGGTGGAGGTCGACCTCGAGGAGCTCACGGCGGTGCCATTTGTCAATGCCGTGCTTTTCGCCAAGCTGAGGCTCCTGGACGGCGGTTCCTTCGTCGATCATTCCACCAGGTGAGTGTTCTATACTATTCGGAGATATATGCTTGCCGTTGAACGCCAGCGACGAGCCAGAATTGAATTGAATCAACGAGTTGGTATTTTACGGATTTAATTGATTCATATACGTGAATTGTACTAATTTTACATTTTGTCTGCGACGAAAGGATTATACATTCTATCTTATAATTTAATAGGATTTTATTAAAGTACGTTAAAACCGAAGCTTTGAATGTGATTAATAGTAAAAATCAATAAATCATCAACGAGTTGATTTAATATCACGTTTTTGTTTTTTATATGGTGCATTTTGTTTTATGAACACACCGTATAAATTCTGAACACATATTAATGTATATCCACGTATACGAAATGATTATTTCCCAATATCTCATGGAGTAATATACAATTTTCGATATATTTATACATTGATATCTATATATAAATGAACTAATTTTAACAATACGTCGTGCATTTCGCGAATTTCGAGGGTATTATTAATTTATCGTAATTAGTTACAAGCACGTGATGTTCAGCATTTAATATTTATTTATATCAGCGAGCGTTAATCTAGCGGAACTTTGTTTCCTGTCTGTAATGTTGCGGCAAACAGCGTTGGCGTTTTATCATGAAAAATTGTTATGATGATTATCAAGATTTATATTGCCCGTCCATAGAACTCGAGACTTTCCAGAAATAGATTCTCGACGGAAATAAAGACTTCAACTATGCCCAGCGCGGTGAACTTTGCATTTTTGTGCTATATAATAATGTATAACGTCACCTTTCTATGCACTCGGGAATGCGGTTCTCGCGGTACATGCCTATTTCACCTCGTTATCCGTTGCATTGTACCAGCTCCGTTAACTCTCTGATTTTTTTATTAATATCGATTAGTTTCGTTCGTTATCCGAATAAATAAATTGCTTTATCGATTTTCAGCGTGGACAGATAGAGAATCCTCGTAAATTTATAATTTAGAAAAATAGCGAGCGAAATATGCTTGCATTTTAATGTGTAAAAAATTTATTTGTTTCGTGACTTTAATATTCAAAAACGTGGAGTGCCTTCGATCGTTTCGAAGTTGAGAGACCGTGTATGTAATGTCGACGTAACATCTGTACCTATATAACGTAACGTCTGCATGTAACGTTTTGTAGGTTAGTCCCACAGAACTGATGTCGCCACGCTTATATTTTATATATATCCTCTTTTGAAATCTACGTATTTTCGAGTAATTCTATTTCGCGAAATGATAGGAGCAGCAACGTGCAATTAGCTTCTTTTCTAATCTTGGAAATGTTTATTACCCTTTTTTGTCTTGAAAGGCTACCCATTGTATCTCGGCATTATATATCGACGAGAGAAGCACGAGTTAAACTGAAAATTTTATTCTCGGCGATGACGCGGAAACGCACGCACGTTAGGATTCTCTTATGGCGAGACGCCGTAAGACGCCCGTATGGAATTCGCGAGCGTATATAATGGCCCGCCATAGTCGAGAGACCTATATTTAGCGCGGCGCGCAGTTTGCTTTTTCTGATGAACCATTAAAACGCCGTTGAACCAAGCCGGAAGCTCGTACGGCTCTAGATAGTCTCCACCTCGAAGACTGTTCAAGCTTTAGGGCGCTTAAACAGCGGTCTTAAGACTAGGGAGCATAGGCCGCTAGTGAAACGGATATACATAGTTACGCGAAACGCGCGCGTATTTACGATAAACACATGTATTACTCGAATTATTGCGAACGTATCTTGGAAGTATCTATCTTGGGAAGGTATTAACATAAATTTCGTTAATTTGATTGTACACGGAAAGAACAATTTTGCTGGATTCAGATTAGAAAATAATTTTTGTTCAACAATCTAAATAATTTTGTTGGAAAGTCAAAACGATTGCTAGAATAGCAAAATGTTTTATAGTAACGCCTATATATTTTTAACTTTCCAACAAATTATTTTGATTAATGAACACAAATTATTTTCAGATCTGTATTTAGCAAAATTTTTAGACCTTTCAACAAAATCGTTCTTTCCGTGTATAAATTAAAGAGAACGTATTTTCATAAATATTAAACACAAATGTCATAACATTGGGTTATTGATAGTGCATTGATTGATTAAAATAATAGGAAACTTCGCAAAATAATTGGAAATAAATTGGAAAATAATGGTATTTCTATATTTACACCTGTTACGAATTTTTATTACATCATGATTGTATTGACGATTAAATTATATTAGTAATCATAATAGCAATTTTGAACAATATACATTTATTTTCGACAAACGTGCGTTGAAATACCAGTGTTTTCCCGTGATGTAATTTATGTTGACACCGTTGTGTGTAATTGTATATACAACAATGCAGTAAGAGTTACGTAAATCTAGTAAATTCCGATTTGTCGAAACGGACAAATCTCTGAATGCGTTAGATAAATAGCCGGACGTTCGCTACCGCCAAAATGATGCGCATCACGTTCACGAGATCGTTAATTTACGTTTCGCAATTTATATTTATACGTTTTCCACTGATATTCTGCGAATTATCAGACGCCAGCACGTCTCGCGTGACTGTTGATCGCGTCGCTATCTCAACCACTTTCTGCCATTATTTTCGCTTCTTTGCTGCTTGCTTATTAAACGCGACCTCTCTTTAAACGTGCAAGAACACACGAGATTTCTCAGAACAATGCGTTCTCGCTTCTGCACACAACCGAGCACTCTCTTTCCCTATTAATAACCGCCGCTGAACGCTACTGAAAGTAAAGCTCCAGTCGATTTGATCGCGATCCAATCCACTTGAAATCGATGGTACATATCGGAGAGAGAGAGAGAGAGAGAGAGAGGGGGGGGGGATATATCGCGCGGTAGTATAAAATCCTACGTCCTAAATAGGATCGTTTCCAAACCGTTTTTGTGGACCGTGGCACGGCTCATCCCGTGAAAGAACTGCGGGAAATCTGGGCCACTCAGCGCATGCCATACGATTAAAACTTTCCTAGTTAAATTCGTGAATATGTACATAGCGTTTTTTTTTCGTTGTCTATAGAGGCATGCCTTTTAATTTTAGCCGTTTTGTCTTTGACTTTTCCGTGCGCACTCAAAGTGTGAAATTAACGGATTTACAGTGGCTATTAGCATGCCCCTGCTTTTTCGTGGAACTCGTGACGTCGAATACAATAAATCGAAAACTGTGGAGTTCAAAGAGTGCCCACGCTGTTTAACAAAACGAGCTATTGTCTCACTAGCGAGAGAACTAACACTGCGATGTTTGTATCCCGTGCGTTATACGCGGTGTCGTATGCTTTCTTCTTTTTCCCTCTCTGTCTCTCTCTCTTTCTCTCTCTCTTTCTAAGTAGTATAATGTTTCTGTGTGTGCAAGTGCGTACAGCATAAATTCCACCGTCATTTGTGTAACCGTTTCTGCTTAACGACGCATTTCACCGCATGCAAGATAATGGTGAAACGTGAAGCGTTATTTTTTTTTCTCAGAAGTGGCATATTCCGAAGTGTTATTTTTTGTGTATTATCTTTTCAAATTTCGAACGATATTTTTGCTAGAAAGTAAACATAAATGCATTTTGTGTATATATATATATATATATATATAAAATGTGTGTGTGTGTGTGTGTGTGTGTGTGTGTGTGTGTGTGTGTGTGTGTGTATATATATGTATGTAAAGAAATGCGCGTTGCATATTTTTCGCGAGGATACTATTCTTTCACTTTCGAAATTATTTCTCCGTTTCCGAATATTCGTTTCACTTCTTCGCCGTGTGATATATATTTCCGTTCATAGTAGAATAACGAAGTCGATAAAACCAGTCGCGCAAAAATGATCCGACTCTATATGACGTATACCGGTCGCATCCGCGTGAAACTGCTTTTTACAACCGCCGCTTTTATTTCGGATATCGGCGTGCTCGTTGAGCGACACGAGAACGGCACTATTACACTTGTATCAGAATGGAGCTTCCATGAAAAGCGTTCCGGTCGTACTAGTATCGACTCCTCCTAGGAAAAAAAAAAGAGTTCCATTGCACGATAATAGCGTCGTGCTCATTAATTGTCTGGTCGCTTTCTGTTTCGTCTATAGATATATACGTAGTCCTTCTTGAATTCCCCCTTTCTAATTTCTTCTCCACGTTAATTAAGCCGCTAACGAACTGTGATCTTGTATCCTAGCCACGAAGTGAAAGAAACGTTAACATGTTGTGTTAAATCCAATTAGAATCATTCGTTGTCGCGATATGTGTGCATGTGTGTGTTTGCAAATATTTGGCATACATAGATATACTTATTGGATTTGAAAAAAGTTAAATATCCATTGATTGGTATATAGATAAATCACTTCATTTATTACGTCTGAAAAATAATATTTTAATATCGGAAAATATTTTTAAAAAATTTAATTATAAATTTTAATTATAAATATTGGTATTCTGCATTTATATAAAATTGCAGTCTTTTGTCTTTTGTGAAAAAAAAGCAAAAGTTGTATATGCATCAGAATTACATACATAGAATAATATAGAATTTGAAATATGTATATATAAAATTATGTATATATATAGATAAATATATATAAAATAGATTTACAGGCTGAATTGAATAAGCTTTTAGTTAATTAATTATTAAAATATATATATTTAATTTTAGTTATTAATTAACGAAAGCTTATTCGAGCAATTCTGCAAATCTGTCTCGCTTATATTCTTAATTACTCTAATAATTATGCAGGTTAAGCAGATTGATCGGTTATTTGCGCGTCATTAATTCCCACATTGGTATTTCTGATACGCTATTTCTTAGAAAACTTTGATTCAGTTTAATCCCGTCGTACAACAAGTTCTGGACGATTTCTCCTATCGGCTGCTTGTGCAATTTCAAAGTTTTTCTTATACCAACAATGGCATCCCGATACTTTTACAGAGATAATTCAAAATTGGAAGACACGTTGGAGATTTATAACGCTTAGGAGAGTTTTCTGGTTATTTTTAACTTTCCTCAATTG